TTAAGCATGAGAGATGGAGTGTTGGGAGGAGCGAAAGAAAACAAAAGGAGCCCTCTAAGAGTTAGTGGAAGTAAAATAATGTTCATTAAAAATAGAAAAACAAACACACACAAAAATCTTTTGTGTTCAACTTCACACTCGTACATCATAATGTTCTAGTAAAAGGCCATTTCCCTTGAGATAATAAAAGAATTGAATTTTTCCTTATCGGTCATCTATTTTTCTAGCCCAAGCTATTACTCCCGCTCTAGGGTTGCTAGGCAACAGGAAATATTAATAGCAGCTTTTATTAGCTTAGCTTTTGCAGCAGAGTAGCAGAATGAGAAAATGGGAAACATAAATGTGTTACATAAATCTTTCAACCTTTCAGAGTCGGTGTTAGTCTCTGTTTTCATAATGATTTATTGAAGTGATGGTTCATTTATGAGCAAAAGGAGTACAGGATAAGAAAACGGAGCTATCCACTGCAGGGGTGTTTGAAAATAAATAATTATAGCCGGGGAGCAAAAGCTGTTTAAAGCCATTTTTCTGAGTTTTAGAAAATGTAAAAAGACATATTTCTTTCGCTCACTGCCTTTGAAAAACAGAGGGATGAGAATTTTATCCGGACTCTTGTGCATATAAAGAAGGCTCTGGACCTTCTACTCTACCACCTTTCTAGGACCCTCCTAAGGTCCATTTTGGAGATCTTCTACTCTTACCCCCAAGAGACACCACGACACCCCTGATTTTACCATGGAGGGCCTGTTCTCTGGCCATGAAACCAATGGCTGTCACTTTGCTGTTGCTTTATTTCTTTTTTGATACAAGAGTTTGAACTCAAGACCTTACACTTAGTAAGTGATCTACCATGTACACCACACCTCTAGTTCTTTTTTGCTTTTTTTTTTTTTTCAGGTAAGGACTTAGGGTTTTCCCCCAAGACTGGCCTTGGATCATGATTTTCCTACCTAAATCTCCAGCATAACTAGATTGACAGGCACTACCAAGCCCAGCTTGTTTGCTGAGATGGGGTTTCACTAAACTTTTTGCCCAGATTAGGCTTCAAATCAAGAGCCTTCTGATCTCCATCTCTTGAATAACTAGGATTATAGGTATGAATCACTGTATATCTGGCATCTTTGCTGTGGCTTTTATTTGGGGGGGAGGAGGAGAGGACGGTTGGTCTGGAGCTATCCCTGAGTAATTTTTGCTCAAGGCTAGCACTCTACTTCTTTGAGCTACAACTCTACTTCCAGTTTTCTGGTGGTTAATTGGAGATAAGAGTCTCATGGACCTTCCTGCCTTGCTGGCTTTGAACAGAAACCCTTAGATCTTTAGCCTCTTGAGTAGCTAGGATTACAGGCATGAGCTACCAGTGCCTGGCTTTTGCTGTTGCTTTTAAGCAAAGCATTGACCCAAGTCCTAGAATAATAAACATACCCTGCCAGCTCCCAGTGGCTCCACCAACTCGGCCTCTGATTTGCTTTCTCAACACCTACCTCTGCGGCAGCCTAAGCACTGCCCCACAATGCCTACAGCTCTGGAAAAACTTGGGCTACCAAGTCATGCCAATAAATCAACTGCATTAATAAACATAGGAGCTTATACTCATTAAACACCTACTGTGTGCCTCTTCCCTACATCTGACCATCAAAACTTCCAGAGTTCCTACAAGGCATGCACCTTTGATTGACCTTCATCACACAGGGGAGGAAACCGAGGCTCGGGGAGGAAACCGAGGCTTGGGGAGGAGGACAGCCTAGCTCTAGGTTCCAGGGTGGGGTGAGGACTCACATCAGCCTGGCCCTACTGTAACTAGTGGATGAAACAAAATGTCAAGAAAACTAAGCCCCTCCCCGCCCCTGGAAGCAAATGTGATCACAGGATATTAAGGAAGTGACCTTTCACCCTATGTGCAAGGGGTGAGTCTGCCACCTATCCCTTTAAGAAGTCGAGTCCATTTCTCCACTCATGATTCAGGGGATGGCCATGTGACTGGCTTTGGCCAATGGGAGAATAGCTTGTGCTAAGTATGCAAAAGTCTGAGAAGTGTTTGCATCCAGGGGATGCTTGCTTTTTCTTGATGTGCCTAGGAACCCCACAAACCCAAGTCACCATGGGAGGAGGGACTCACAGTCAAGTCTCCTCCATGGTTCTCTATAGTTTTCATGAGCCAAGGGCAGAGATTTGTGACTCAGACTATTTTAGACTGGGGGCCCCAGGCAAGGTGCAAGCTGACCCCAGAAATGATCTGAGCTGGTTCAGGTCAAAAGGACCACTTTGCTGACCCAAATAGTCCAGGAGAAAGAATCACAATGTGCTGTTTTAAGCCCCAAGTGTTGGGGTGGTTTGTTACACAGCAAAAGCTGACTGATACAATCATAAAACAAAACAAAGAACTTATGCATGGACAATGATAAAGGTAATTGGTTGGATTCAGGATCTTCTATAGCCTCCAGTGGCTCAGAAATCTAGATGGTTGTGAGGAGGGACAGCAAGTCTTCTGTCCCTGGGCCTCAGGCTGTGGAGGGGATCTCCTGGGTCTGCAGGATCAAAAAGGGACACGCTGACCCTGGGGCAGGGGTGCGGGGAGGGGAGAGTGATGAGGAGCAGCACTGACCAGGAAGGGCAGGGGCAATGGTAGAGTATGTGAAGAGCTCTTTGAGTGGACACACAGGCTCTTTCCCCAGGTTCCAGGCCCTGTAGGTTCCCATGAGAACCACTGCTGAAGCTACTAAGGTGTTGTTCCTGCTCCCAGCAGCTATCCCAAGACAGCAGCCTGCAAAGGCCCTTCACACAGAGGTGGGAGGGCCCAGGCCTGTATCCTGGTAAGATGCTCAGAAAGAAACACCAGGACCCAGAGCACAAAGGCTCTAAAACTCAGCACTAGGATGTTGATCTGTGTTGATCGGATTTGCACCCCCCAGAGAGTAGCATGAGTGGTGATGGTGGCGATATATCAACCCTTCCACCCATGTAGTTGGAGTATAGGAGAGCTGGCAAATCAGTGATGTTCCTTTACCAGAGAAAGTTTCCCCACCACCATCTCCTAGGGATACAAGGGATACAATGAGAGAAGGGGACTTGTTTAAGATTCCTGGAAAAGCCAGCAAGACTCAAAGTTGAGAGAATGCCTAGAGAAGATTTGTACCAAGGCTGTGCTGCAGACTGGACCACACAGCTGCAGAGACACAAGGGCTTGACCTAAGGAAGCCCTGTTTCCCCCGGATCATTAGGATTCATGGCAAGGGTGGGCCCTGCCCAGCCTCCACCTGCCCTAAACTCCTCTGGCTCCATAATAGGTAGAGATTCCCAGGGAGCTTGGATCTATGCCTGCCAAGGATAATTCCTCCCCACCTCACCCCAGGGGCGGGGGGGGGGGGGTACAGCACCATTGTACCATCTCCAAAATCAACGATTTAGACTCAACAGAAGCTCCTTAATAAATTCCACTCTTGGTGTTTTTTTTTTTTTTATCTCTGGGTATTTTAGAAACCCTGATTTATACATACAATATCTCTCTCAAAATGAGACAATCAACACTGGATAAAATTATTGAGTTATGAAAATAGAGGTCAGATGGAGGTGCAGCACTTTAAATTAAACTGGCAAAATATATCTTTCATACTAAATTGACTCTTTTTTGTCTCGGAAATGAATGTTTAATCAGTTAAGACGCTGAAGTCGAGGAAGAAGCCTTGAGCATATTTAATTTGGTAGAAGGAGCCCGATGCTAATACTCGCCACCATTCCTGCTGGCAGGCATCCTCTCCTAGGAGGAAATCTGACTCCGCACGTGTCTATGGGGCTCGGTAGCTAGACAGAGGACCACAAGAAATGAACTGGTAGCCTCTGAGATCAGAGCCAATAGGACAGGGCATTGCTGAGATGGCCTTGCTCCCCTTTCCAGGAACAAACACCTCTGGGGACATTGTGGACTATATAGATGAACACTTAAGGCATTTGCTAAGCTCCTATCTACACCCCTGAACTCTAGCTCGAACCACCGCCTTCCCTGATACTTACGCAAGATACCTTTCTTAAAAGACAGGATTCTATTTCTATGTTACATCCAGAATAAGCACAGAGAAAGAGGCAGGAAATAGGGATCCTTTGGGCTGGAGGTTGTAAGAATGGATTGGGAGCAATAAATAAAAGGTATACATTTTTGCCAGTAGGCCTGTGGTTCACTTCTATAATCCCAGCTACTCAGGAAGCTAAGTTCTGAGGAACAAGTGGCAAAGCTGGCCTGGGCAGAAAAGTTTGTGAGATTCTTTTATTTTTGCCAGTCCTAGGGCTTGCACTCAGGGCCTGGGCACTGTCCCTGAGCCTCTCTGGACTCAAGGCTAGTGCTCTACCACTTGAGCCACAATGCCACTTCTGGCTTTTTCTGTTTATGTGGTTCTGAAGAATTGAACCTAGGGCTTCATGCATGCCAGACAAGCACTCTACCCATAAGCACCATTTCCAGCCCTGTGAGATTCTTATCTCCAGCAAAAAGCTGGAAGTGAAAGTGTGGCTCAAGTAATAGAGCAATCAGCCTTGAGAGAAAAAAGCTAAAGGAAAGCAGAAGGTCCTGAATTTAAGCCCCAGAACCAGCTCATGTGTGTACACACACACACACACACACACACACACACACACACACACACACACACACAAATGGTTACAAGTTTCTCTCCGAGTGATAAAAATGTTCTAAAATGCCATGTACAGATGGCTACGTGACGCCATCGATCTATGAAAAGCGACCGAATTATACACTTCCCATGGGTGAATCATACAGCATGTGAATTACATTTCAATAAAGCGGTTAAAAATAAAAATTAGAAATAATACGACAGACCCCAATTTGTTAAGACACAGAGCTTTTTGCAGAAGCGACAGTTTCCCTCCACGCAGTTGCCCAATGGTACCCAGACCCTCCCACCCCCGTGGGTTCCCAGCCCTGGAATTCCGTGTCTCTCCATCCCATCCTGCAGGAAGCGTGGCAGGAAGACAGGAAGACAGGCACTCACGGTGGGCAGCTGGCCTGACAGCAGGTGGCCATCCTGGGCCAGCATGTTGGACACCATGATGGCGGGGAGGTCCATGGCCTGGTAGGAGTAGGCAGGGAGCAGACCGTTGGGCGTCAGGCCGTGGCGCAGAGAGTGGTAGCCAGCGTCGTGGTCCCCCAGATGCAGGAGTGATGGCTCGGGAAGGTTGGGCGGTGTTATGGGGGGAATCTCATAGTCTTCGTTGTTCTCGCTCTGGCTGCTGTAGGTCTAAAACATCAGAAGGGGCATGAGGTGGAGGGAGGGTGTTGGTCAGTGGTCGGAAGACTGCAAAACACACCCAGCCCCACCGATCACAGTCCATAATGGCAACACTCAGAGGCACCCTGCCAGGCGAAGGGGGATACCTCTGCAAGACAGTGTGTCTCAGGCCTCCTGACTCACTCAGACTCCTCCCTCCCACCAGAGGCTCTGGAGGCCAAAGCCTGGCTTCCTGCAAGACAGGGTTGCCTCCTGCATGTCCCCCTCCCCGTTTTCCCATCCGATCTTCTATTACCTGGGATCTATCTTCCCAGTTACTGCCTCATGGATGGGGGCTCAGGTCCACCTGGAAGTAGGTGGAGGGGCTACCCCAGGGCTCTTTCTGGGCAGCTGGATGATTTTTCTTTTAGGAATTCCCAACCATCACCTGTTTGTCTTTCTCCTCTTGCTAAGCGGTTCAAACATTCCCAGAGAAGCCCATGCTGGGCACTAGGAGCTGTGCTGGGCCTTTTCTCCCATGCTCGCTGCTTTATCCCTCCTCCTATGGTGATCAGCCACAGTGACCAGCCTTGACTCAACCTCACACCCACGATTCTCTGCATGGTGTTACCCGGGCCACCTCTCATCCCCCAACACATTACCTCCCCACTGCTACTCGCCCTGCAGCAACAGGTTGGCTTATGCATCTTCTAGTAGCTTAAAACATCTTCAGATAAAAACCTGAGCAAATCAGACCCCACGGGTACACCTAGGACTGCTGGCATTCCTCCTTCAAAGGACTCCCGGAAGTCAGAGGAGGTTGATTTCCAGTACATTTGTTTCATGTTAAATGTGACTTCTGCTTGCTGTCCTCAGTGCTTAGGTCAAAGAAGTATGAACTCAAGAACTATTCATTAAAAAAAAAACAACTGTTGAATAGAAGTTAGGCCTTAGGGCAGAAAGGCAAACACATATCTTACTTAACCTTTGGGACCACCCTGGAGGTATATGTGGGAGGGGAAGGGAGAGTACTATGGTCACTATTATTCAGGAGTCAGGGCAGTTGTAGTAGTTAAGAGGCAGACAGCAGCCAGACACGGTGGGGCATGCCTGTGTTCCCAGAACTAGGGAGCCTGAGGCGAGAGAAGCCAGTTTGGGATCCACAGCGAGACTTTCTCTCAAACTAGCAACACTCAAATAGACCCCAGACAGCTTAGGATCAAATCCTGGCGTTGCCACTTAATTCCAGAATGTGATTCTAGGCACATTACTTCCTCTCTCCGTGCTTCAGTTTCTCATCTGTGAAGAAGAAGGTAAGGAGTACGTCTCTACAGGGTGGCTGCACAGAGCCAATGAATCAATGAATGAATGGAAACAGCTCGGGATGGTGGCTGGCATGATCAGCCCTGAGTGTCAGCTCTTACTGCATCCTCTGTGGGCTTGCTGGAATTATGGAGACACTAAGGCTTTCTCCAAGGACAAGAACGGGCACCCAGCCACTCACTGGCTCAGCAACCTTGCTAGTGAATCCTCCTCCCTCTCATGTCACACGTCTGTGCATCGCGGGGTGACATCTGTCTTCAGCATCTTCCCGAGGAAGGCCAGGGGGCTAAGCACCTCACGTGGAAACATCCATGGGATGATATTGCCTCAGAAAACAGAGCCCCCTCCCCTGGCCAGCCCTTTCCTCCTGTCCAGTCACCTCCTCCAGGCAGCCTTCCAACCTGCCTGCCCATCTTACAACAAGACAACACCCTGCGCCTCCAACTTCCTCTCACCATAGTGTGCATTACCACATCTTCATCTTCTTTTCGTGTCCTCTATCCATCCCCTCCCCCACGGTGATTTCAAGCTCCATGAGGTCCCAGGTTCAGTCTGTCTGGTCTCCAGTATCTGGGACACAGCAAGCACCCACAAAATGGGCAGATGTCCCTAGCTGTCACTCATGTGTCTGTGTCTGTCCTCCCAGCAGGCTGTAATTCCCTCCAGCTACCTACTGTCTGTCGTCTGCCACCTGTTTCTGTCTCCGTGGTCCAAAACAAGGGCTGGTACAGGACAGGTACGCAGTGACTGTCAAGTGATTGCACAATCCATTCTTTTCAGTCGAACTTCCACCAAACCAGAACCTGCCCAATTGTCCAGAAGCCTTTTGAAAAAAATAAGCACACTTTGGATCCAAATATTGAAACAACACAATGATGACAACTCATTTAAAGAGGCAATTAGCGCACTTGAAAGTAAATGTGCAAACACATACGCCTCTTCTGAGTGCAATAAATCCTCAAGCACCTCAGCACAAGCCAACCTGAGACTGATAGCCCTGACAGCCCTACTGTGTGCCAGCCCCACACCACACTTCCATACATGCTCTCCACTTAAAGGCCCTACTGTGTACCAGAAGTCCTGCACCCACATTTCCATACATAATCTCTACTTAGAGGCAATACTGTATACCAGTCCCACAGCCAATTTCCATACATGATCTCCACTTAGAGGCCTGTGTACAGACCCCACAGTCACATCTCCATACACAATCTCCACAAAGCCCCTACTGTGTGCCAGCCCCACACCCACATTTTCATACATGCTGTTCATTACTGTGTGCCAGTCCTACCTCTACATTTCTATACATGCTGTCCATTTAGTGGTACCTGTCTTGTCTTTACAGACAAGGAAGATGGAGCTCCAACGGCAGAGGTGCTATATAACCCGTGAGATTCAGATTCAGGACTTGGGAATCCTCACTCTGCACAGTCTGTGCTGGGAAGGGTGCTCTGCCCATTCCAGTGCTAGTCCTCCTCCTAAGCATCACATCAGCTACTCCAGATGGTGGAAGTGCTGTAAGTATCAGATCGTCCACTCCACCTCCCTCCTGAAACTAAGAAAAGAGGTACCAAGTGCCTGATCTGTACAAGTTCTGGTGTGGCCCAAGGACAGAGTGGTAGTTTTCCACGCCCTGATCCCAAGATGGCAAGCATGCTGGACAGATCCAAAGACCAGGGGATCTGCTTGGATCAGAGGTTGTCTCACATTGCTGGGAGGAGGGACCTTAGCGCCAGTGAAGGCAATGACTACAGGAGGCAGACAGGAAGCCAGGATTCAGGGAGCGACTGCTAGAGGCAGGGAGGACATGGAAGGCCTTAGTGGTATGAAGTAGTATCTTCATTTAGTTTGATGTGTATTTTCCTATAGATAAATGATACTGAGCATCTTCTCATGCATCTCTTGACTATTTGCATATCTTCTTTGGAGGAATGTCTGTTCGTTTGCCTACAAATGATTGGTTGTGGATTGCCTATCACTGTACTGTCAGAGTTCTTTATACTGTCTGGGTACTAAGCCCTTATGACAAGTGATTGGCAAGTATTTTCTCTCCTTCTCCCTTTCTTGACTGTGTCCTTAGGATTGTGAAAGTCCTTTACTAGAATGAGTCAGATTCATCTGGTTTCTTATTGTTCATGGATATCCAAGAACTTATGGAGAAATCTAAGTAATGATGGGTTACTTTCATGTTTTCCTCTAATAATGGCTTTAGCCCAGCAGTTTGTTCCTATCATGGACTCCTTTTAAAAGTACTCTTGCTTGGCATAGGACAACAGGCGGAGTCCAGCACATGGCTGCTCAGTGGACCCGGCATGACTATTTCTTTCTCTATGATTGGTCCAGCATCCTTGCCAGATGAAGCTGGCCACAGCTGTATGATGTGCAGCCCCTCCCTGCTTTTTCAGTTCTATCCCATTGTCTCCATGTCCTTCCCCCTTGCCACCACAGGCTCTTTCCAAGACGAATATATTTATCTGTTGGGAAAGTGGGAGTGCCAAACAAAGATGGAGAATGAGGAATAAGGTCCAAACAGTTCATTTGCATATACGGAAACAGAACAGTGAAACCTGTTGAAATTGTTTTAGGAAGGTGGAAGGCGAAGGGGGAGAATGAAGGAGGGGGTGAGGATACATTATTTACATGCATGAAAATGTCACAATGAAACTTTCCTTGTACAACTAATGGAGGAAATGAAAATGATTACCAAGCAGAACGGTTTTAATTAAGATCACAATTAGCGAAAGGTTACAGTGTTTTAAAAATATTTCTGAATCTCCAGTGAGGAGCAGGTAGCCTAGAATAAACATTAGAGCATAAAAACATGTAGTTACTCTGTTAAAAACTTTTCATTTGTCTCATTCAATCCAGCTTTTCTCCAAATCTGGCAGAGGTTAGAGGGAAGATGACATTTGTTCCAAGGAGATTTCATAAGACAGCAGCTTGGGCTTCCAAGTCTCGCTCACAGCCCTCTCTCCCCTTCCCCGTATAGCAGCAGAGCTTTGATGTCCCTGGCTTTGCCCCAAGCTTACAGGTGATGCTTCCAATTTTCCCCGAGAAGCAGACATAGAAGTCTTAACCTTGTACCTAGCATGACATTCATTCACACCTAGTGAACTACTGAGAATCAACATGTTATGTGCGATGCAAATGGAGAAAAACGAGGCCATTTTCCCCAGTCGTAAATGTCTCAATATTTCATAGTAAAATTAATATTTCTTTTTCTTTCTTTTTTCAGTCAGTCATGGGGCTTGAACTCCAGGCCTGGGCACTGAGCTCTTTTGGGTTCAAGGCGAGCCCTCTACCACTTTGAGACACAGCCCCACTTCCAGTTTTCTGGGGGCTAATTGGAGATAAGAGTCTCACGACCTTTCCTGCCTGGGCTGGCTTTGAACCATGATCCTCAGATTTCAGCCTCCTAAGTAGCTACGATTATAGGAGTAAGCGCCAGTGCTGGCAAGTAGTATTTCTAAATGAGGGGTATTTCCCCCCCTATTTCAAAATAATGCTGAAGAATGGATCTTTTATTTTTTTTTGTTGGTCATGGGGCTTGAACCCTGCACCTTCAGCTCAAGGCAAGCGCTCTACCCCTTGAGCCACAGCGCCACTTCCAGTTTTCTAGTGGTTTATTGGAGATAAGAGTCTCACGGACTTTTCTGCCTGGGCTGACTTTGAACCATGATCCTCAGATCTCAGTCTCCTGAGTAGCT